TAAGCCCCAAGAAGCCGTGGTTTACAGTGAATTTATAACGGCTAATGGGCGTTGTTAGGCACGACGCGAAGCGGTGTATTTCACTTTAGTATTTTTGGTGTTGCAAGCTATTAAAATGACCTACATAAATATGCAAACTATCTTTAAAAGTGACCTTGACATTGCTTGATGTTTGTGTTCTTATAAATATTGTGTTGACATTATGCTTTCTATCAGCCAACCAGATTGTAGAGTTAAAGTTAAGAGTTTCCATATTATTTTATAGGTATCTTTGGTTATGGCTACATTTGGGCCTTTCATTTTTGAATAGGAATATTTTTCCAGAACCAAAGAATAATGATTCAAAGGATGTTGTCGCACTTGGCTAGATCGCATTGTGCCTGACGCCCCACAGAACTGCACTCAAATGCAACTACAAATGGAATAGTCATTAATAACCTAGAACGAGCACAGTATACGTTCAGAATACCTTGATATTGATAGTGTAGCTGTATGGTCATTACAGAAATAATGGTCCAGTAGTCTGTGCAAAGGAACCATTGATAGTGAGAACCTCAAAAGTCTTTAACGGAAATGCAGTGAAACACAATCAATAGACATGTCAATTCAGTAAGTGGACCTTAATCACAGCAACCTGATTTATTATGTACTCGCTTATACAATAATACAGGCTCCACTTTCCTTTTACATACCATATTGTTTTAGCAAATGTGTTTGTACTTCCGACATTCACAGATGGATGTAAAATCATGTCGGACGGATATGCGATTTGTAGTTCCACATATAAATTACATTTGAGATTAGAGTTGGCAGAACACTATATTGCTACACTATATTACATACTTGGTCCAAGATGTTTGGAGAAGCAATTTGAGTTGTTTTTTGTTTCCCAGAATTAAAATGCATGCAGCATTTTCAGGCCTCTGCTGCTCCAAACAAGCATCTTATCCTTAGGCAAGGTCCAGCATTGGCTCATTAAAGTGACAGTAGGCTGCACACTTTGCATAAGAGGTTTTTGGCTCTAACACACTTTTAGACTTCATCCAGGTATAGATCGTATGAAAAACTGAACTTGAACTGTTACACCAGGTTGTATTAAACCTGGATGTGTATTGGGAGCATATTAATGTGATTTATTCAGCAATTCATTTGGCAATTTATTTCCCAATCCTCTGTTTTATTTATAGTCTTGTTTATCTCTGAAAAAGCTCAAAACATTCCTCTCACAACATTGGCCAATTGCTATTGCGCATGGATTCACTTGAAATGTTGCAACCCATAAAAATCTCCATTTATAACCGCAATGCCTTCCCACTCTCTGAGGCAACTTGTGTTTTGATTTGGGTGGAAATTCATATCTTTTTTGTCTTTTCTTTTTCAGAAATCATCTCTTCAGGCTACATTTAGAGGATCTTTCATTGATCCAGGTGGGTGAAAAAGTCTCTCTGTCTTTTTCTGTCTTTCTTTTTTCTGGAATTGCTCAGACAGCTCAAACACCCAGGATAAGACTAACAGGTGTTGCTGCCACCACGTGTGAATGCCAATTACAGTGGCTTCATAAGCTTAGAGAGAAAGACTCTGCCAATTTAAAAGTTGTCAGTTCGTCACAATGCTGACGTGACTGGCGTTCGTGCTCCCTGGGCTGGTGCTCTCTGTTAAATCTGTAAACTTTCCCTGGACTCCATTTTTGGATTTGTGTGGTTTGAAACCTATTAACAGCTCTCATTTGTATGGCCTGATGTCTGTTTGTGCTAAATTTAATGTTTAAATGCTGGCAAACAAACATGTTTTTTGAGTCTCTGATACTGAATTGGGAATTAAAAATGATGTTCACTAATAAATATGATGAGGCTGATTAGGATTAGCGAGTCTTAAGGGCCGTTCATTCTCACTCTGATTAATCACTGGAAATTGTTGTCAATGTGCTTTATGAGGTGGCAGATCGCTCTCAAAGATGGAAAATAAGCCTTATTAAAAAGATTATTATTTCTTGGATAAAGAGTAAATAAAACTATGAAGCAAGGTCTTATTTTATTTATTTATTTATTTTTAGCATTTTGTCCACTAAACCAAAGTCATGTCTTGCAACCAACGTGAAGGGGAAAAAAGAACAAAAAATTAAATGTCTTAAAATATATTTTAATATATCAGTAATTTTCATGTTTTATATATTTTGCTCCAGCATCCCTGGAAACAAACATAGGAGAATCGTTTAGAGAATGGACAGATGGATATTTTATATAGTAATATTATTTTATATTTTTTTACTTTTTATAACAAGGCAGTGTTAAGCCAGGTTGTAAAATATTGCTTAATGAAATATGTAGCAAATTATTTAATAATTAATAATTTATTTATTTTAAAAAATTATGTTGAAAAATGTGTTTAAAACATTTTTGGAAATAATTAAGATGTTTACGCTCACATGTTATAAAAATGTTATACATTTTTACTTTACAACTCATGACATTATTTACCTTTATATTAAAGGGGTCATATGATGCGATTTCAAGTTTTCCTTTC